AGAGAATGTTCAATTGTTTGTTGTATTCAGGCATTTTTGTTTGTTTTTCCTCCTTCGCCCACATTTTGTTCCCTGCAATACTGATTCCCTTGTAAAACTTATACAAAAGCTCATTGACAATAGCTCTCGCCCCGATCGACAAAGTGAGCAAGGCAGAAAATAGTTTTAGAGAGCGTGACTAAGCCTGATTGGATCTGGCACACCATTTTAACCATCTTTTCTAGCCCAGTTTTCCCTTCACGGTGTATGCTCGCCAACTGTGGAAATGACAAATGACGCGATGACAAGTTTTTCACTTCTTTCTAGGTTAACGGATGCATCGGAAATTGGGGCAAAGGAAACAAGACGGAAACGGAAGTGAAATACAAACTGATGCGACACTTTTAAGTCTTTTAACTGAGTGTTTTTAATAACTAAATAGAATTCCATCAGTAGAGCAAGATTTAAAGAAACAATGTGTAGAGCGGAACAGCTAGAGTGAAAACGTTGATATATTTTGCATTGGTTTATTATTATTTAATTTTGCTTTTATTATTAATTTAATTTATAAAGAAACATTTAAAAGCTTTTAAATTTCAACAAATTATCAATGAATATACAATATTGTATAATCTTTGTTCTTATACTTTTTTGTATAATAATAAGCTTGGGTAATTTTTGCTTTGTATAGAAAGTCAATTAAATAGATATCATAGTTGTTTTTCCTTTTTTATTTGCCTTTATCAAAATGGATGTGTTTATATTTTCCTAAGCCTCTTTTTCTATATATTTGTTTCTTTTCTTGTGGTTTATGTCCCATACAGCCGAAACATTTTGCTTCAGAGCATTCAAAGTTCATTGTAAAATGTTAGCTAGTTTGTTTGTTTGATTTTTGTGTATCCATTTCCAGCTGTGCCCAGCGGAGACCGGCGAAGGCGAGCGCATTTCATATTTAATTAAAATCGAGGCACCCACAGACACCAGCAAAAACAAACAGACACATATGCAAACACACACAGGCACACATCCACCAACACGTTTGCATAGTACAACAACCATTTAAATAAGGGGTACCAAATAGGGGCGTGGCGGGGCGGGGGTCGTAGACGGTGTCGACGTCGTCTGGAAAATGGTAATAATAAAACGCTGGGCAAATATTTAAAATATTCCGAATGCCGCATTAATGAGCTTTTATTTTGACGGCGATAAGCGCAGCACACACATTTAGTTGGCAACAAATTATGGCTAATTCGCGATTGCTTTATGCTAAACAGATGCGGGCGTTGAAAAAGAGTAAAATTCTTTGTTGGCGAAAAATCAAAACAGAGAAGGGGCGGCACTGCCACGCCCCTGCTCAGGTTCCGCCCACATCTGCGAGCCAGGCAGCCATGGCAATTAAAGCGCGTGACGAAAACATACCGCTGCCACGCCCATAAATATTTCGCCAGCCAGATGAGGATCCTCCATTACGTACAGAGAGAAAAAAATGTACATTTTCAAATACAGAGAGAAAATGCTTGCAATTAAACTCATTTGGTTTTATATTTAGAGTCGAAATTTAGATTTCCATAAAAACACTGTTAGTAAATACTTTGGAAATTCATATTCACTTTAACTATTTAAAAAGAAAAACTGATTTATTGTCCATACAGACAAAAAAAACATAAGTTGATTTAAAATATCAAATAGCGCTGTTCTTAACCCAATTAAACTAATTAATGAAAATGAACTTTTGTTTTATGGTTTTTCATGTGCTTTTACATTGCAAGCTGTCGGCATTTGTTAATAATTATATTTGTATCAAGTTCTCGGTTCGTTTTATTTTCTGCCAGCTGTTTTTCGCAGCTATCCGCATATTTCTCTTTGTTTTCATTGCCATAATTCATTTTGCACTTTTCTCGAGGCGGTGAAAAACGTGGGGAGAAACCTAGAAAATTCAAGGAATGCGAAAAAACATTGTGTAAAAGCCAGGATCGAGTGTGTGCATTTTTCGAGGTGGTTGTGTGTGTGTGCGTGTGTGTGTGGGTGCGTTGGTCGTTCTTATTAAGTGGTTCGAGTGCTGATTTATAGCCCTTTACCCTCCCATCACGACAGTTATCCTGTCAGTCTTAACTGAAGGACAGGACACTCGCACTCTGTCCTTCGTTTGGCGGTCGGCACTCCCAGCTCATTCGGTTAAAGTTTTAAGCGCTCACTTTGCATCTAAAGTGTGTTTGGCAGATAAATGTTTTGCACGCGCATTACTCATACGCCAGGTTGGCGCGGTACCATTTCCACCTGCAAAAGGAAAAGCGGCAACCTAAACAAACCGCACTTTATCTAATTGAATCAGGCACAAAAAGTAACAGGGTCGCTGATTAATTCAGTTGACAATTGCAAGGGAATACAATTTAATGTTTAATTTAATGATCAAGAAACAGATTGTTTTTAATCTTACTTAAAACATTTGGCCTTTAAAGGCCGTAAAAAGATTAAACTGAAACCTGTGAAAGTTGATTATTAAATCAGTCTTTTTTTTACTAACTATTTAGCTTTTGTAATGTCTGACTAAGTATATGTTCCTAGATTTTAAGTTATGAAATTTAATTATTCAATAGAATTTTGTTTATGGTGGTTTTTACGTCCCTGTTTAAGAAATATATATTCTTTTACCACAAATATAGTTTTAATTGCCAATTACTGAAAAAAAAAAACAGTTTTCACAGATTTCATAAAGCATTTTGTATATCCATGATCCACTGCATTTATAATACAACTGGATACATAATTAATTCGTTTCAATTTAGTTTAGAAAAGTAAATGTATTTCCTTGCTGAAATAATCTGGCATATGCTCAACTGTATATTGCTTTTAAGTTATTGCTCATAATTTTCACATTTCCTTTCAAATTCGTTCTTGTCAGTTTATAACTCCATGCCTTTCTGTCTAAATCGTTTCTTTTTTGGCACGTAGCAAAATTGACTTAAACTAAATTTTCTCAATACAGATTTTCCCCGAATGTTTACACTAGCACTCAGAGTATCTTTCGCGGCCCATTCGTAGAACAAAGAACGCAACGGATGCATTAAAAAGGTGCCAACTCTGGGGCAAATTAATATATTTACGGGCCTATGGATTGCCTCAGCAGACGCATTAAACTGGCTGTAAAATTGACTTACGGACATTACGCAAATCTGCCGGACGTTGTTGCCTTTGCTGTGACCCAAATAAGATTTTCCCTGCACGTGGAAATGGACATGGTTCAGGTCAAGTACAACAGCGGCGGCACTTGCCCATAAACTTTTTATAGTTTCAATAAATATAAAATTTGAGAGCCATTAAAATGGGGGCGAAACATGCAAACGCGTTCTGCATTTGTTTGTTGCTCTTCTTTGCAATTCGTTGTTTTGGTTTTCTCTCAAGTTGTATGTCTTTCGAATTATGTGAGCGAACAGGATTTTGGATGTGTGTACATACGATTTGCTGCAGCAAATATAAACAATTTTTTATGTTTATATAGAGTTCAGAGACAGCATCAGCGAAAACCAAATTACGTATACGCCATGAATAAAATGAAACATTTCGAGGCGGTGTTAATTCACATTCAAGAGCTTGAATAATTTCATTGAAAAATTCATGTACTCTAAAATGAATTTTTATCTTTGATAATGATTGCTAAGCTTCTTGCTAAATCGATTACGGAAAACTAATTACAATCATCCGTTTAGGTTAGAAAATCACGTTTGCTTGACAAAAGTTTGTTTCGATAAGCTTATCAAAACTTTGTTTTGACGTTTTGCTGCCATTTTTGACTTGCCTTTTATTGATTTAGTTTGATTAGTTCACTGGTAAACAAAAATGAAAGGAAAATGATTTCTTGGTAATTAATGGTATTGATGGCGAAAGGCAAAGTATTTTGATGCTTTTAACAAAGTATTGCTAGATCAAAAAGATTTATTATTAAGTTTTTTGAATGAAAAGTTTTTCTTATTGTATTGTATTAAAAAATAATGTTGTTTAACGTTTCAATGTTTTTATAACTGTTCCATCAATTCGTTACAAAACCAAACATTTTAGTTTTATTATTTTTACCCTAATTAAAAAACTGATAAGCAAACATTAAAAGATATATAAAATAAAATATACAAAATATCTTTAATCAGAGTCTGTTATTTATTTGATATGAGTGTTGGTATACTTATTATATTCTATAAACTATATTTGTGCGTTTGCTGGATGCCTGATATCTTGCTAGTTTTCTGTCCAATCCTACTCCTAAATGAACTGGCGATTAATTATTTGCCAATTTACCCTCATCAACTTTTTGCCCAGGCCTCTAATTAGAACGAAGCAAGAGCTCGGCATGGCGCCAAATGCCCACTCCTGTCATTTCATAGGGCACACATGGCAATCGGAAAAACCACGTCATATTTGGGAAATTATCAGACATTAAACTCTTTATGAAAATGTCAAATAATTAACATCGCGGCGAATCGTAAAGAACTGTGAATGCCCATATACATAAATGCTTATGTGCGCCTGAGTTTGGGTAATTTTTTAATAAGTATTCAACGCTACTTCGGGCACATTTTCCAAGAATTTACCTGAGTGTGTGCGTGCGTCGTAAACATTTTTATTGGCCATTTTCAACATGAAAAGCAATGAAAGGATATGCCGAGCCAGGTCGGAAAATGCTTTATGATGGCGCAAAGACAGAGACGCAGGGGCGAGACAGAGGCAGAAAAAGTGCCACATTTTCATTTCCATTTTCGTTTTGCCTTTTATTTTTGTTGTTTGTCATGGCCCATTCAATTATCTTAATATTACGCATACGCCGCATGGGCTGCCAAACAGTTTGCGTGGAGGGAAAGGCGATGTGGCGAAGGGTGGAAATGGATGGCGCACCATTGCCCAAAAGGGGAGAAACTAATTACCGTTGGCCAAATAAACAAGACTCTTGAGTATTTCGGCCTGAATGCGTTTATTGATCCCGAAATGCGACCTAAATGAGGCTGGGATTGCGGTTGTATCGCGGTCCTTACCTTCTGGCAAATGTCCTTCGAAGTCCGGTATCCTTTATTCCATCACTGTTTATCTCAACTGATTGCTTCACAATTTATTCACACTTTTTCATTTGCACTTTGGCCTGCGCTTGGCTTGCTCTAAATTCAATAAACAAAATCGTTGCGGCTTACACAGGACACTCGGCGTTCTGTTTTGGCCCTGGCTTTAGTTGGGCATCTCTCATTTACATTTTGTGCATATTTTAATTGCTCCCAGATACAGAAAGGCGAGGAAACGTAGAAACGCCCCCGGAATCCGCCCAGGCGGAAGCCAACAATGAACAATGAACAGGTCCTGGGGCTGGGATCCAGCTGTGGTCATTGCACTTGGCACAATTTCTCTGTTTTTTTTTCTTTGTCTTCTTTTAATTGGAAATTAGAACGAAGCTGGTGCTGTCCTGGACTGGATTTGCATTGCCACAATGCCACTCCCCATTCCTGGCCGCTTTGTTTATTAAACTTCAATTAGGCAAGTTTTTCCAATTAAAATTTGCCCGCTGCAATTTTAAGGGTCTTTGCTGGCCGGGCCAACTTTTCGAGTGGTGGTGGTTTTAATTGGTTTTTTTCTAGCCCCTTTGGCCGGGTTGTATTGTTCCCATATCAATCTAAGTCAACTGGGGGCAGCCAGGCGGAGGCATTGATAAATGCAAAGGGGAACCGAACCGAGAAACCCGTCGGAAATCGCGATGCCATTTCTACAATGTATTCTGCACCTTTAATGGGTGCAAGGCGATTTATCTTACTTATGCAAAGAGATTAAACTCTTCATTAAGTAATATACTTCAGACGTAAACTATTATTATTGGCCTTTCTAAGTAATAAAGTCGATTATATTAGATTCTTGCTAAGTTAATCTGCATACAAAACCAAATTGTCATACAAAGAAAACATGGGCTTCCGAATTTTCTCAATAAGATGAGTTTTAAATTAATACCACGAAAGTATCAAAATAAAACTTATGTGGCTTAAAATTAAAGTGTCAGACCACAGTTTTAGACTCTTTAGTATAGAGAGAATAGGAGTTTTATTATTTAGAATTGAATTATTATTTATATTTTAATGCTGTTTGTAGTTTTTTTCTGGGTGTGTTTTGCAAAGAAAATTATTTTTAACATTAATAACCGGTTTCACCTTGGTAACTAAATTATAAATAAGTTTATATAGTTGGTTTTGGCGACCTTTCCAAAGTATATTAATTGTTAGCCGGCTCGAGGTCAGGACGTTGAAAAAAAACACAAAATTATTTCAATTTTGGTAATTCGTCAATATATTTCGGTTGCTCTTCGGCAACCGTAATAATAAGCAATTAATATAAATAAGTTTATTTAAAACCAGAAATGGTTGTCAATTTTTCAAAAAACTGTACAGTTAATTCACTTTGTTCGATTAATGTATAATTTTTTGTGAACTTGTGTAGTTGATTGATCAAAAATTATAAGAACAAATCACTTCCAGTCGTTTGAAATCGTTTCCTGTATAATTTATTGTTACCTTCCTGTTTATAAATAAATGATCAATTGAAATTTTGAGATTGGCACGCATCATAAGCCAAGGGAAATAAGCATTTGCTGTTAGAAACTATAACAAGATGTTGACTACATTTGTTAATAAAAATATTCCCAAGAAACTCAAGCTCTAGGATTGATCCAGTCATCAGTAGCTATCATCAAGGAGGAGAGCATATGAAATGAGTCTAATACTAACTGATATTTTTGTTCAGGTCGGGAAATGCGATGCCGTTTGGGCAACGTATATAAACGGGGAATGTCGCACCTGATGTAGGGGCAGGGGAAACTGGAATCGGGGGATATAAATATAAACAACTACCCCGTGCCCGTTCTAATACCAAGGCCCAAACTCCGCCGCCTGTGTGCGTGTGTATCTGTGTGTGTGTGCTGGGTATTTCACTTATTTACACTTCACTTCGGCTGCTGATTCTGCCGCCGCCGCTGCTCACTTGCTCGCGCCCGTTTTCAAAGTTTCACTTAGCAGCTTTCCTTTCCTATATTTCCTATATTTGTTGTGTTTTTTTGTGTGCTGATTGCTTGGATGCCGCTTTCGATTTTCCGCTGCGAACACCAAACGCTTTGAACTTCGACGAGGAACTGAGCGCGATGGAGCAGCTCGGAAAAGCCGAAAGCTTTCGGCCCAGAAACAAAGTGGAAATGGCACAGAGAGCGAGCGTGGAAAGGAGCACAAGCTCGTGGCGCTGTTGCTGCTTTGTTTTCCTCGACTAAATGGGCGAAATCAGCGGGTGGGTGGCAGAAACACTTGTGGCTCAAAGGCAGCCAAAGCAGCCAAAGCAGCGGGCTTCCATGTTGCCGCCAATTGGGCAACATGGCCCAAATGTTGCGCCGGCCATTAATCGGGTTTGCCATGGCGAAAGATGAGTGCACTTACCGGCACTTTTTTGGGTCAATTAATATCGACCAAGCCAGTGTAAACACTTTTTGGCCTTTGGCCATCTGCTTTTGGCCAACACTGGCGGTCGATAAGATAAACAAAACACCCACGTGGTGTGTTGCTACCCCATGTTGCCACAAAGCTGAATGGGTTTTGTTTTGTTCGATTCGGTTTCGGATTCTGATTCAGATTCGGGGGCCTTAAATGCTCGACTCTTCGCTTTTCTCGGATTTTCGGTTCCCGGGCACAAAACCGGCGGTCTCGTCGGATGTGGCGAGCTTTTGGAGCCTGCGGCCCTAGTTCCATTTCCAATCCGTTTCTTGATGCGGCCAAAATATCACACCCTCCCCTCCCCCTCCCCCTCGCCACAAAGTTTGTACGAGCCTCTTTGGCGCCCGACGAGGTGACAATTCCATTTAAGAATTGCGGGCATAGCTTTGTTATTGCTCATGACCATTCCGGCCAGCCATTCTGGCCAACAATGGAAATAGTTATGACTTCGTTACCACTATAGACTATTTTGTGTTGTGCGATTAGTTTATACTTATCTGATTGTCATTTATTCTCGACAATATTCTTATCACAATTGATGGCAGTTCATGTAGTGACGTTGTGCACTAAGAGCGTGTGTATAGGAGTCTACTATTTGTATTATTATATTGTCTAGATCCGATGCTCCGTTAAAAAAGGCTACATTTTCTACACCAATATCTTCTAAACTAGTAAAGATCGGACGACTATATCATATAGCTCCTAAGGGAACAACCTTAAAAATACATGACAAATTATATCTTCGTTTTGCTAACTTCCGACTGCAGTTACAATACCCTCAGCAAGGTTATAAAATGGAGTAACCAAATATTTGTTTTCAAGTTGTAATAATGTAAAACATTTGTCTAGCCTTGATTAGAACACTTACCAAACTTGTTACATTAAGTTAGGCACTTTTATTTATGGGCCGTCAACGGGTACACTTCAGTTAATGATACCCAAGACAAACTCTCACTGTAATTAAATAGTTAAAGTAATGAATGGCCGCTTTCGAGAGCTTACATAGACATTAACATAAAGGTCTTTATTATCGGGGCTGCAAAGTAGATGCTGCGCAGGCGGAGGGCAATGAACTTTTGTTTTTCCCAGAAGCACGGAACAAGGAGCATTGGGGCTCAGGTGTCGGGTGTCCCGTCTGCAGCACATTAAGTGCGATTAGTCAGCCAACGGGTTTTCAGTGCCCGGGGCATTAGCATCCACCACCACCCGCCATGGGCTGGTGCTCTCTGGTGCCCGGACAAAATCAATTTCTATAGTTAATAAGCCGACCGCCTGCTGTGGATCAAGCTGGGTGCTCTTTTCCCGTCCCCAGGAGGCGGGAGGATGTGCTGGGAGGACACCCGGCACCATTGTTTGTAATTAAACGGATGTGTTCGGTGGTCCTGCGGCGCATTGTGTCGCCTAATGCACTGGCTGCCCGCTGTTGTTGCATAAATTAATTGATTTATCAAGTGCACGCCGGCTTCGTCTTAATTAGCATTTTCTGCTTCTGGTGGCTCACGTTGCGTATACGCAATTAATACATATTTGCCCCATTAATTAGTGGCCATGTACACACACACACACGCCCCAACTGGCCACTGACACATTAGATAATGGGCCACACGTGGCCCGGCTTCTTTCAAGGATTTATGGCAAAAGGGTCCAGTCGAGAGGCTCCACGTCCACCTTCAACTCCACCACCTGGTTAACGACCCATAAATCTAAACACTCTCGCCACGGCACATAAATTGCCCAATTCCACGCAATAAAATCAAATGTCCAGATAATGCATTCGCAGAGGTAAAAATCAATTTAACGCCATGTTCTAAATTTGTGTTCAAGCTTATGTTTTTAAGCCCGAACGCCGCTTTTTGTGGGGCTCGTGCAAACATTTATTTCAGTTCAGCCACAACACATTTTGGCCAAAGTGCAAACTGGTTAAATGACTGCCAGCAGCTGCTGTCAAACTTCCGACTAAATTCTAATTCTGCGGTTGTTGCCAATTGAAATGTTTTTCGCATTGAATTGTTTGGAAAGTGCTAATGGGATTAAGCGGATCCCGAATGCGAACAAGGATAATAATGAGCTCTGAGATCTGACGTTTGTGATTAAATGGAAATAAATGCGTAATGTTAAAGCTTATTTAGTGGCATTAAATGAGGCGAAATATTAGGCAATTATATTATTTGTAGCTAGCAGACTGGGGAATACATGTTCGTTTAGTTATTGTTATTTATGATACAACCTTAGTTCATTTTTTTCACATTTAAAGACATATGTTTTCCTTCTTCATTCTTAACTCCACTCCAATAAAATTCAAAATTAATCGAGTAAATCTGCGTTGAGAAACTCTTTATTTTGTTTGCTAGACAGAGGCAGTTTATTACGTGACCATATTTTGTGGTTAAAATTCATAGCTTTAATTTTAAAGCTGTAACCAACAAAACCATAATTAACCATAATCATAATTTCAATTTTTTTTCTTCAAAAATATAAATTAAAACTAAACAATACTTTTTAGGTACGGTGATTAGTTGCGTAATTTAATTATAAAAAAAAATAGTTGTTGTTAATAAATGACCACAAACAAAATTTCTAGTATGGCTTGGTATTATTTGAACACTGTATGCCAATTTATGATTTAATGTATAAATTCATCGTTTAGCTAAGCTCCAAATGCTGTTATGCTATTAATTATGGTTGCAGAAAAAGGCAAACCAAGAACTGGTTTGCAAAAAAATGCAAATATCGACCGCAACTGTTGATATACGATTTTTTGTTGTTTGTGCACCCTGTGTGTATGGCCAGAAAACAGTGATACAGCATCTCTGCCTGTCACTTTGATGATGCATTGAATGGCCAAAAGGCTTAGAAAAAAGTGATGCGAGGGGGTCTGAGTACATGGCCAAAAACATGGACTGATTGCCGCCTACCACCTGTTTGGCTTTCGGCGCTAATCCATCAATGGCAACAAGGCAGAAAGTGCCAACAGCAGCTTCGAGTGCTTCAGCCCAAAGCAAACACGAACACGCAAAAAATAAACCCAATAAAATTCCCAGTGCCCTTGTTTAGAACAACAAAAGAAGCAAAATGGAGCCACCGGCTCCATTAAAATACATATTCGAAAAGCCCTAAAAATCCATTCATTCAGGTGGGTCGTAAAATCGCGAATGGCCGCAATCCGCCACCCACTTATCCACCCATCCGCCCACACACACGGGGCCAAGGGAAATGGCCCTCCATCATTCATTCATTGGGGATGTAGATTGCGCCACACTCTGTAATATCCTGCAATCGAAGTCGCCTTTTCTTTTATTCCACTCTTATGTATTTCGTTTGGTTTATGCTCGTGTTTTTACAGTTCAATAAAGTTCAATAAATTCAGCGACTTGCAAGTGGATTTCCCTGATAAACGCAGACGGATCAAACAAATTAAAGTCCTAAGCCTGTGAGGCATACCGTCGCATCCGAGAGATGCAAAAACAGATGCTAGCGACTAGCTTATCGAGTCCTGAGTCCCGTGTCCTGAATGCGAAGGTCAAAGGAGCGTGTCGACTGGCATTGATGGACGAGGGGGTCGGGATTTGACTGGAAACACATGCCAAGGTCATCGAAGCCGACATATATTGTTGGAAGGTAGCTTTTCAAATTTAAACATTATAAAACAAGATTCATGAGCTTTGAATGTCTCGAATCTGGCTTGTGCAACATACAAAAAGAACGTAAAATAAATATTGCCTAGATTCCGAAATGGCATACATTGTCCATAACTAATAGATTTTTGACCACTTACTTATTTTTAATTCCCATTTATAAAGACTTCACATCCAAGATTAAAATTGTTTGAAATGCATAATAGACCAATATTTATTTAATAACCAAATTTACATCATAAAAACAAGAAAGCAAACAATTTAAAAATACCTCGCTTTAAAATGTATAATTCGAATACTCACATCAAATCAGCTCGTGAAAGCTTATTAGTAATTATTTTATAATCAACTTTGAGCTCTATTTAAGCGCAGGGCGTTATTTATAACACATGACGTTAAAACCACCAAATTTTAATTATTGTACCTATATCTTAATTATCATCGAAACATATCCAAATACATATTTAGCTTAAGTGTGTAGAAATTTAAGTTAATTTCCTTTAAAGCTCATTTTATTTATTATCAACAATATTTTTATTAATTTTTACTAGTTTCGCTATTTTCCAATCAAAAACTGTTGAGGTGTGCATCTGACAATACCGTTTAAATCAAAAGCGAAAATCGGAATTCCAAGCATTTGGTTGGCTCAACTCAACCAAAGCGGCACTTGATTTGCATGGACAGCTGAAGGACCACACTGCCTTCCGTCCCTCGGGCTGCATGGCCCCCATTGTCATTGTCAGCCATCGATTTAGGTTTTTTTTTTGGGGCTGCCCTTCATTTGACTTGTCTGCCCGGCTCGCTTCATATCTATATCTAAATAATGGGATGTCACTTTTAATTTGAGCGTCGATTTATATGCCTAGTCAGTGGACTATCCTCAGTCCCAGAAAATCTGCCGTTTGAGCTTCCAATAAAAAGCAGAAAGACAAAAAAAAAAGGAAGGGAGACAAAAGCTGCAGAATGAAAGGCATTTGGACGTCTTCATTGTGCTTATCAGATTCGGGGAAGTACACACACACACACACACACACACTTGGGTCTTAAACTTTCCAGTGAGGATAGCATGGATACTCCCATTTGTTCTCTGTTTGTTTTAGAGGGACAATTAGCCGAGTATTCCCCACAATTTAATTGTTATAAATGCCAAGGCTGAATGCGAATTAAGTAATATTTATGGAAGGCAGTGAAAGGATATCAGGATATCACCCGGAAACTCTTCCCACGCGTCGAAGGATCATTAATAACAGTGGATTTTGCACTCGAACAGCTGACTCTGTGGCTCCGCGTGGGTGTTATTCCCCATGCGAGTCCTGGCTATTCTATTACCATTAATCTCATCATGCACAGAGAAGCAGCATCTGCTGGATAGTCCTGGTTGTGATTTCAATTAAGCACCCAGAACGGGACGAAAAAACCAAGTTATGAAGATAAATGTCACTCGTCAAGTGGCAATCAATTAGTTATGCTATCAAGGCTCACGTGGCATAGTTTCTTTTGTGCTCGCTCCCAAGCAACCCCGAAAAACTTGAGAGCCTTTGGGCCCGAGTGTTCGTGTTTGTCACAGAAATTATTCAATTACCAAATTAAATTTAATGCCTTGTACTCGAAGTCGGGCGAAGGACGCAGCCAGCTTGCTTTTGATCCCACTAAAAGCTTTAATAACTGTAAATTGCTTTCACAAATTTGTCTTCGAACGAGAAAAGCGAGAAAAGCTGGCGAAAGGGGGGAGCGGTGGCGTTTTGAAGGGCGGAAAATAGGGGAGAGGACCTGCCCGCATACCTGGGCAAACATTTTTCTCATCTCGGTGTCGCATCCCCCGCCCGTGACCAAATATTCACAGGCATTCGACGTGAGCCGCACTCTGAGCTCGGAGTTCGAGTTCGATGGCAAAGGCCAAAACGAGCCATTATCGACGTTTTTTGTCCCCCTGCATTCCACATTAATGTCTCTATCTACCTGATGCCGAGCATCAGAAATCCAATTATATTCGCTTTATGTACAAAAAGCTTCTGCAGCCCGGTAAAGTGAATCAGTGAGCGAGCGACCCTCTGGCCTGAGCCATTAACTAATGCCGAAATCCGCTTAAAAATTAAATTTTGTTCACCTTTTTAAAGGGATGCCAGAAGGTTCGGGGAATCGGCTTAGTTATTCATCTGTCAGGTGCGTGAATTAAACTGGATTGACCCAAATTAATACTTTTTATCAAGTTGTGGATTCGAGTGGGGCTTTAAAGAACGGACAATTGAACGGACTAATAGATTGTCTCAATAGTAGATTGGAAGACCATTAAATGCTTATACTTATAAAATAATTACCTTATGTTGGTTTTTCAAGGAACTTTATTTTCCCAAATTAAAGACAGTATTATCGATTTATTTTATATTTGCGACAAACCCATTAATTATTATGATAGAATCCTTTGCAAGAGCTTATAAATTATTCAAAACAATCTCTTTATTCAAATTGCTTTCCCGAAATTAATTACACCAAATTCATTAGTGGGGTGTTTTAGTGGAATGAAACATAGGGAACATATCGAAATACAACAGAGTTGAAGTTAGAAGTTTCTAAGCTGCTAATTTTTACTTACCCTAAAAATATTTCTGTGCACATAGTTGGATACTTGGACATCCCAAAAATAAATAAAGTAAAAAAACTTAAGGCAAAGTAAAAGGTTAAATTTCCTTAAAACTGCTTAGAAGAATAAATAAACCAGGAACAATATTTAATACTAATAAGATATATTTAAACTAGAGATATAAATCTTCCATTTTCTCTACTTGTATCTAAATTTCATTGAAAAGAAAAAAATTTTACTTGGCATAGTTTTAGGCAGCAATAAAAAATCATTCGCCTTTTTCATTACTCTTTTTTTGTTTTAATTTTTGTTGTTTGCAAAATTAAATAGTCGTTTTTAATTAAGTAAAGATTTATTTATTTTATTTCTTAAGAATATGCTAACTCGTTAAATTTAGTCTCATTCTATATATGATCGCGGGAAAGCTTTAAAGAAGCATATGATCAGCATTTTCGAAAAAAAAACAACTCAAGAGCTTTGGGAAAGCTTCAATGACGCCAACAATCAACTTGTTTGTCTCTCTTTAACTTTTTAGTTTCTTTACTACCTTCAGCTGAGCCGGTTGCGTTTTAGCAAGAAAAGTAATTTGATATAACTAATATTTTGTTTTGTTTTTTGTTCGTTTGTCACACAAATTATTAATTAACCAACCCATTTTAGCTGCTTGGATAATGTCGGCCAAACCCATTCTCTACTACGCCCCCCGCAGTCCGCCATGTCGTGCTGTTCTGCTGACGGCCGCCGCCCTGGAACTGGAGTTGGATTTACGGTGAGTTGTCGCCGGCTCTCTGGTAAACAGGTCTCCCACTCAAAAACTCTCTTCTTTAACCCTCCGTTTGGCTGGGGATCTTTAATGACCGCGTTGCATTATACAAATAAACATACCATTTGTAGACAATTTATTATTTTGAAGTTTTAAGAGCACTTTTTGGCGTCATCATAAATCAAATTTTAAAACACTAAAGTGTGAAAAGATAATATTGTCAAAATATACTATATGCATAGTCAAGTTATATACACAAATAGTTATAAATTTTGTTTATTAATATACAAATTCGTATCTTACAAAATTTTCAAGTTTACAACTTAAAATTATATTCTGTTGGAATTTTGATTAAGATCAAAATATATTCCGATTAAAAGTATCCAATATATCAATATTTATTCGCGCAGTCAAATGTATAAATTTAGCTTTATTAATTATGTAACGACTATAACTTTAGATAAAGTAAGGGTTAAACCACTATCTATCTGGCCATGCCTTGCACTTATCTTTCCATCTCTCTCACTTTCTCTTTTTAATCTCTTTCCAGTCTTGTCAACGTAAAAGCCGGTGAGCACAAGTCCGACGAGTTTCTCAAGTTGAATGCCCAGCATACGATCCCAGTGCTCGACGATAATGGCACCATCGTGAGCGACTCTCACATTATCTGTAGCTATTTGGCCGACAAGTATGCCCCGGAGGGCAATGATTCCCTGTATCCCAAGGATCCTGCTCAGCGTCGCCTGGTGGATGCCCGTCTGTACTACGACTGCGGTCACCTGTTCCCGCGCATCCGGTTCATCGTGGAGCCGGTGATCTATTTCGGGGTTGGAGAGGTGCCCGCCGACCGAGTGACTTATCTGCAAAAGGCCTACGACGGCCTGGAGCACTGTCTGGCTGGAGGTGATTTCCTGGTGGGCAACCAGCTGACCATTGCGGATCTTAGCTGCATTGCCTCTGTGTCCACGGCGGAGGCCTTCGCGCCCATCGATGCCGAACAGTTCCCCCGTCTGGTGGAGTGGGTCAAGCGGCTGCAGGCTCTGCCGTATTACCAGAAGACCAACCAGGAGGGACTGGACATGCTGGTGGACCTGGTCAAGGGACTGCTGACTGAACGCCAACAAAATTAGGCCTCACTGCAGAGAGAAATTGATGGATTTTTTTACTATTAAAATGTATACTACAAACCACAATAGAGATTTCAATATTTTAAATGGTGACTGTTTTTTAATTTTACTCTTTACCGTCTTTTAAAGAATGATTTGAAAAAGTAAATGTTTATACAAAAACTACTGGGCGCAATTCTTACCAGGCAACTGTTTTTGGATATTTCATCCAGGTCAGTATCAGGCTTAAAAGAGAACTTGTATGTCGATGAAGATTTTATAGCCATTTTGTAGCAGTTAAATAAATATTTAATATTTGTTTGGCTAACAATTATCATGGGTAGGGCAAAATTAAAAATTTCATGTTCCTTCAAATTCTCTATCAATACACATTTTTTTTTGGCACATTTAACAATTAACTTAATGTGTTTATCTATTACCAAACCACTATGGTTACTTGTACTTGTTGTGTCTTTAAATATAAAGAAAGAAAAGAATGGTTCCCATTTTTATTGAAATTTTTTTCTTATTTCTTTTGTCATATTTGCTTCCTGAACTAATAGACTTGTAATTTATTATGTTTCTTGAAACAATAAAGTAATATTCGTTTCAAGTCAACTATTAATTTAATATAAACACTTTTATAGAACCAATACTTACTTTTTCGAATCTCCGAACACGTTTATTTAGTAGCATTCCAATCTAGGATCATTTTTTCCACCGTAAATCGATGTTGAACAATCAATCAATACTTGGTGCAATAAAAACATGAGTTTCATTAGACAGCAGCCGGTAACGATGAATCAAGGCCGAACAGCAAACAATAATAGGAGATGCGATATTGTGGGCGGGGTGGGCTGGCTTGGTGGTCAGGGTGGCGGAGATGTAGGTTGAGGTGGAGGTATGAGGGAAATAGGACCGGAGACAAGGACAACGACAACGACAGCGACAGCGACAGTTATGTGCAGCTGGTCGAAAAGTAATGGCAAAACTTTTTTATGGGGAAAAGCCGGCAGCAAAGGCAGCCAGAAACCTGAACTTGTTCATGGACTGTGTGTGAAACTTAAGCCAGAAAGTTTGCCTTAGACCGCTCGCCTCCTGGCCATTGTTGTTGTTTGCTTGGCTTGTTGGTATTTGGCTGTTCCCGTTATTGATTACAAGCTGTAAGTGATCGCATTTATAGTTGTTAAAGCTTCTTTGGCTTTTTGCGGCAAACTCTTGACTTTGGCTTTACCCACTTTAACGGAAATAAGTCGAAAGACCACTGCCATAAAGTACGACACGGTTTTTCTTTCATCTAAAGTTTATTAAAACTTGGTTAAGTTTCTTAAAGGGGAAGTTATTTAATCTGTGTATTTATACCAAACAATAGCAAATTTATCGGTTATAAATTAAGAGAAGGAAAACTTTTAATGTTGGGACAAAACTACAAAACTAGCTAGAATAGAATCATTAGAGCTTAGAGTTGAAATAAAATTTCACTGAAACTGAATTATGAAACGGAATGCCTCTATATTTTGTATTCTCAATTATTGTGATTTAAAAAGTTTAATTTCGGCTTTATGTTTTTTTTTTTTAAATTTGTTTGATGATCCCTTTATTTGTGTTATGATTTCCACATATTTATGCAGTTAAACATCCCGAGTCTTACATAATTTAAAGCTTTTAATATTATGTTTGCACTGCAAAAGAAAGCTCATGGATTTTCCTCTGAGCTAAGAGAGTTTGTTGCAAAATGAAGTTCGTTTTTTCACTTGATGCACCCGGAAATGGCTGACGGCTTTTTGCAAACGTGATGTGACACTTTACAGTGCACTTATGGCCGCCAGTCAATGTCGATCAGAAGTGGTGACATGAGGCGAACCGGCAGTGCCCAGCAGTCACAGTCCTGTGACCAGTAACCAGTAGTCAACAACCATCAGCCGCAGGGGGACACACGGTTTGATTAAAGTGCAACACTGCGGGACAAAAGTTTCGCCATTGGAGGACGAAAAAAGAAAGGAGCAGCGTTCCGTGGAACTGGGTTTTTGGCCACATTTTCATCATGCTTTTTTCACAGTTTTCAAATGCCATTAACTGGGAGACGTGGAATGGTTTCCGGGGGCTTTTACTTTTACTTTTACTTTTTGCCCCTTTGTCGGTTGGTGTGTGTTTTTGGGATTAAAATTTAATGCCGCAAAAGGAAAAGGGCAACCTAAGCGCGTGCCAGGAGCGTTAAGTAAACCGGGGCCAAACTGTAGCTACTCATGATTAATGATGCCTTTTTTCGGTGGCTCGCCGCCAGGACCTTCGCCCATTTCCGGTTCGTTTAAAGTTGAAACGTCGTTTGTTGGCCATCTGTTTGCTGCTTTTGGCCGGGGTCGTATTGTTTGCTCTGCGGTTGCGGTTTGTTTAACAATGAAATTAACTTCTTACCAAGCCAATGTCCCTTCGACAATTGCCAACAAAATTCAATATATCCCAGGCATTTTCATTCATTGGGCCATGAACGCGGGATAATCAAACTAATTGGAATACACATTTATTGTGTGCAAATCACAATCTTTCCCGCTCCCTTCGGACTGCCATTGTGCCAAACAAAGCTAATCAACGTTAACGATTTCGAAGTTCGATATATAATTATGACATTTGGGCATTGGTTTCCAATTACAGCAATCTATTTGTGGTGTCAGTGATGGAAAAATTTCTACTTTATGGTACCTATTTAAATCTACAAAAATATTTATGTCCGTAAAGTAAAAGGTACATATTTTGCTTAGGGAAGATAACGTAAACTGATGGCAAAGGAGAATATAAACAAAAGAATTGCCTTATTCTTGAAGTGTTTCATAGCTTTAATTTATTACATTTTATATTTACATTCCTTAGATCTAGTTTATTTCTTAAAAAATTGTCTTGAATTTTTATCAGATAGCTTTTATGGCTTTTACGCAAATAAATTGGTGTTCTAATATCTTTGCAGCGGGTTTTATAATTGTGGCTTATGAAAATTCTTGATCAGGATCATCTTTAAGTTTTTCTGGTAGCTTGTATATCGGACTATACCATATATCTGCTTTAGAAACGATCGGAATTAATATTATATTAAAATCAGTTTTGGAGCTGTCAAACTGCAAACTGTAGAATTTTTTCCATTTAAAAACGAAACTACCTTTTTCTCTTTAGGCGTTTCTGTTCTGATAAAGAAGCTTAAATAAATTGAATGCAATACTATGTAATTGGAACTGGTGGACTTAGTGTATTGATGTGGGGCTTACCGAAGCTAAAGTGCCAATAAATATATATCTGTAAATGGGTACAAATACATGGGTGACTCCCATCACCGCAGAAGGTGGAGTGGGCCACTTGCCTCCGACATGATTCTGCTCTTGAGCCTGGACAAAGGGACGTGCTCTCAGGGGAACTCATGTCTCCACTCAGTGGCCGGACAAGATGCGTTGATGGGCGCCGCACTCCGTGTTCCGTGTCTGTGTCCTTGTTCGATATCCGGACTGTCATTTTCAATTCGATGTGTAGTCCGACACTTGCACTCAGCAATCGACAACGAGGACATGCGGGCTGAGATCCCATAATACATAATGCTGATGATGACCACTTAAATGATGGGCGTAGACCAAACTAATCACCGGGCAATGAGACTAAATCTGTTTTGCAAAAACTAACCCAACGAGCGAGTGCATTTGTGAGTGTGCCGGGGCAGTGAAAGGCGATTATCCTGCTCAACTAACTGTCCTGTCTGTCGTCCGGCCAAGTGTCCTTTCAGAATGCCCAGCTGCCTAGCTGGCTAGATGTCTGACTGCCTGGCTGGCTGCCTCCTGATAAACGGCAGCACAATCTTGTGGGCTTTTGTGCCGAGGCCTGCCATTCAAATGAGGTCAGGTCGTTGCGAGAGCATCCTGCGTCAGGACTCGACTCCCCTCCATTCCTCGATTCGATGCATGTTGATTAAGTGCTCGCAATTCGAATACCGCCTGCTGACAGCAGCTACATTTGCATTTGCATAATTGGATATGTATGAACGGGCAAAGTTGATCTGTAAATGCTGATTTCCAGCAGCCGAGTCCGAATGCAGAGCAAACTTTCTCATGGCCGTTGACATGTCACTGCGTTTCCATTTAATCAATATCGGATGGAGCAAAGGGTTGCGAAGTGTATATATAGATAAATAAAGTGCGTTCCGTTAGTTTAAGAGGCTGCAGAAAATTTAAAAAAAAATTAGCTGACTTAAAAAAATGGTTTTTTAATTAAATAAACATATAAAGCTTATCAATAATTTAAATGAATCAGAAACTAATGTAAAACTTAAGGTATTTCAGCAAAATAATTTTAATTTTTCTTACAGAGACAACATTTTTACCAAATATTATTTGTAATATGTAAAAGTAGTTGGAATGATCAAAAAGGTTTACTTTTAATAGTTTATTTATTAATTTAATCAGGCTTAGAAAATAATTATCAAACTATGTAAGACTTTTATCATCCTTGTTGTATTCCTGTCCTTTATCTGACTTTTCAGATGTTTCCAACACAACATTTTTGCTAAGGACTGTAAGCATGACGTACTCTCTATACAGGTTGACTAATTAATTTTGGAAATGTGTTAAAAGTGTACTATTTTTGGACAGGCTGTTGCAAGTATAATTAGCTTTGAATAATGGAGCCCCAGCAGGTGAGGATGTGTCGGATTCAGTTGTCGGCTTCCGTTCCTTATTCATTACCCATTTTCATGGCTGCCAGCGATATTTGAACTTTGCTTGCGACTTAAATACCCGAAAAAGAAAGAATGAATTCTGGCATAACAGCAATTATAGACAATAAATTTGTTGACACTAAGTGCTCGACAAACTTTTCCAATTAGGGGCAACAACAAGCGAATTATTGCCCAATGGCAGGGGCGTGGAAATGTGGTGTGCGTGTGGGTGTGGGTGTGGGTGTGGAAAAAGTTGTGGGAGGGTTCGGTTGTGGGCTCTATGGCTGACTTGCAAATGAATTCATTCAGCCATATGACTCGAGCCAAGTCCGTGCCTGATTACAGGCCCCCGGCAGCCTAAGCTCCTTGCTTTCACGCCGTTTTCACGCATCCGCCT